CTGGTCGAGGACCCTCGCCCAAGCTGAATGGATTTGGGGAGTCAACAACACCCTTGTTTGTGAACGGTTTTAGTGGGTCAAGAACCCCTTGTTTTTGAACTGTTTGAGGAGTTTAAGAACCCCTTGTTTGTAAAGGGTTTTAGGGGATCAAGAACTCTTGGTTCTAGCAGGTAAAAGATTCCTTGTTTGGGAAGGGTTTGGACTCCTTTGCAAATCTGTTTGATATCTTACGTGAAGGTTATCAACCCTACCTCCTGGTAAGGGGTTCTTGACCCCCTAAAACAGTTCACAAACAACGGGTACCCACAAACCCATCACGATTTAGGAGTTATCTGTCTATATGGTGATGGGTTTGTGGGTAGCCGTTGAGTAATGAGACAAACAATGTTTGCTGTGAAACTCCTGGAGATCAAATGCGGTTCTGGCCTTGCCTTGTTATGATGTTTGTAAATGTGTCATGGTCCAACTAAAACCGAAGCCAGAACCTTGCCTTGTTATGATGTCTGTAAATGTGTCATTGTCCAACTAAAACCGAAGCCGGGTAATGGCCCCGGTCATCTCTCTGTATACTGTTGATGTGTCAGGGACGCTGGACCCGTTTTCCAGCAGGTGCTGATCCCACCAATAGATAGGGGCCTTCGTCGGGAGGGTACCACAAGGGGATGCTGGTATCACCTCCTGTGGCCCAAGGCAAATTACATCAACATCAACAGCCAGGTTGTCTTGCCTTTTTTTGAGAGAAAAGAACCCCGTCCCTGTACAGACAAGCTCCATACCCAAGGCCAAGCACCCAGCCCTGATGCGAACTCAACAAACAACTGCAACACTATCCACCTATATCCTCTGTAATAATGGCCTTTTAAACTGGGGCCTTTCCTTTGTGGTGAAACAGGGGTAGCGACGTTTAGTTTGGTGTCAAAGGGTGTAGCTGAGACCATCTGAATGGCAAATAATTCTTCTGAAATTATTGCTTTCTTTGGGTTATTGAATAAATAGGGCCCTACAGGGAGATTTTCCCACAAACCTGCCATCCTCTCCAGGGAAAACATGGCATGCATTTATGTGTGTGCCTTTCGTTAGTTGCCTTTATTCCTGTATGCGTGTAATCTTAACAATGTTTGTGTTTGTGTTTGTGTTCGTGTATGTCGCATGTACTTGGTGGTCTAATGGGGGTGTGGCGGGTGGTCTTTGTGTGGAGGCTGGATTGAACGGGGGGGG